CCTCAATTCTTAATAGTAGAAAACATACAGTTTCAGTGTTACTGAAGGAGGCTGAATGGCATGCTAACCAGTTTCCATTTCACTGTTTCATGACACGAGAGAAAAATAGAGAGCGTTTTTCACTGTGATGAATATAAGTTTGCTTTTGGCGCATATTTGCATAATTTCCACATTTTAATTATAAATGCTAGAGTAAAGGTTCAAGAAATGTTATCAAGCATTTTTCCCAGTCCACACTTGACAACCAGTAATATGTTAACCAAATACGTAAAAAAAATACTTAAATATTATAACTACACAAGTCCTTTTTGTTATATTTCATCTTTAAATGTACATAGACCCACAAAAGAGATTTACATAACATCTAAGAAGTAGCATAAAACCTAATGGGCCACATGAGTATACTGTATATGTATATTTCTTTACATCTCCGCAGTGTTTTCAATAAAGGAACCGTATATCCATAGGAAATGTACAAATACTGCCATATAGCAGCATCTGCCTCACCACCAGGTCTTGGCTCTGCAAACAGCCAGAGTGCAGGGAGCAAGAGGGAGAGAACTTGCAGCTTTTATTTGCTCTGGCTTTGGCTTAAGGTGCTGAAACACCACTTAATCTACCAGTCCACAGGGTTCTAAGGTCACGGCGCCCTAGGACGATCCTGAAAAGCAGAATGCTGCTCAAATCCCACAACAGCCTTGCGCGCGCACACACACACACACACACACACACACACACACACACACAATGGTTTCTCAACTCAGTAATTTTCCCTCCTGCCCATGCTGTATTCAGCTACTCTACTTGCAATTGTATGTGCCTATACTAACAGGCTGCTTGTCAAAAAATTTAACACATTGGCTTTGTTGCCGACTTCCAGACATGATGTGATTCTAGGGGAGGCAACTTCACATGTGCATTTTTCTTCCATTTGTATAACCACACTACTGAAATTAGCACATAGACACTGGCTCACAATTTCAAAACTAAATATTTGCTTCACCATGAATACATTTAGGCAGAATAATGAGAAAGACAGAAAGAAAGAACAACAAAAATAGAAATAATCCCAGGAATTATTTTGCAAATTCAAACACAGCCTTGCCTGACACTTGCCCTAACCCTGAGGCTTCCAGCTGTTTCCTAAACCACTCTTCTTGTGTGTGGTTTACTACTTACCCTTGTGTCTCAGGCTTCCCTCACTTAATTGACTCAACTGAATTTTAAATGTGAACTGCAATTTGCCATTTTTGAGAGACTCGCTAATGTTGCATCAGTAAGCACTTAAAGGACTTTTTTTTTAAGTTCGACATTTTTTAAAGTTCAACATTTTTGAAACAGGCTCATTCATTTTCTTGCCAAGAGGTAGATGATAAGACTGACACCACTTTCATGTTTGTACAGTAAATATGAAGTTACTGACTAGAACACTAGACTAGAAACCAAAAAAATCAAGCTCTGTATGAGGCCCCATTTACACCGGGATATTTTAAAGTGCTCTCATTAGCTTGATTCTGTCCATACTGTGATCAGATCTCAATATGCACATTAGCCAGGCGGGACTTGTGGCATGTCCCAGTGTCAACTGAAGCAATGCAATGGATGAGTTTCTTTTTTTGCAAGGGAAAACTTGCTATTACAGCTACTGCTATTACAGGCTTGATTTAGCTTGCAGGAATTGGCAGATTTAGGTGACGTTTTAAATTGCTTTCAACTCTTCTTAAGGATGTGGTTTCCACCCAATCTCCAGATGACTGGACTGGTTTATCTAATCACGTTCCAGTCCCAATGTGTGCATTTATACCTAGCATTAACATATGTCTACAAGGTGTTTATGGGGTGCAAAGCTCATTACTTGGCAATCTTGTTTGCAATAGTAAATCTGAAGGGAAGTGTGTTCACTCTTTGTTTTTTTTTGTACAAATTAAAGAAAGGAGATGTAAAATGTTAATTAGTGAGTTTTAGAGTTGCTAGTAGATGGACCATTTGACAGAGCCAGGTTTGCTGTTACCCCTGTTTCCAGTCTGCATGTTAAGCTAAGCTAACTGCTAGCACTGGCTTCATATTTTATGTGCATTGGTATCTCACTGCAAGCAAGAAATCAAAAAAGCGTATTTCCCAAACTATTAAACTGTTTTTTCAAGTATACTGGAATATACAACAGAGTGAGTATTGGGATATAATGGGATGCATGAGCTGTGACTATGATTCATCTGGGAGCCCACATGTGTTTGGTGGGCAGAGGTGTTTCCTGAATACAGTGTAAGGTACACTCATTGAGTCAGGTAACTAAAGTGAGTCAGACATGCAGCCTGCCGGACGGACTCCACGGCTTGGTAAGCTTTCGTGTACTCATTCTTACACAGGTGCTAGACAGTGTCATCATTGAAAGTGTGTCTTTGTAGCTGAGTTAATTCAATAGGAAATAGTTGTGTGAATGGTCCCCTTACAGCTTTCAAACCCTTGCAAAAACAAGCTACAATGTATTCTGCAGAGGTAAAAAGGACTGCTGTAAAAGTTCTGTGACGCAAGTATGATGCATCTGGGTGTAATTTGTTTGACAAATAAATTGCGCATCACATCACTGTGGCAGCCAAGTTCATTTAGTCACTGTTATGAGTCAATCTCTAGTGTCTACACCAGCATCTCTTACTTCCTCTAATGCCACATATAAATTGAATGCATAGCATCTGCAGACTTTAAGTGCTCCACTGAAGTACCTCAACATATAATATGACACCGGATATTGTGAGACTCCAGTCACTGCTCCTTCATTCACTGCCGGCTGTACTAACCGCATTAGTCATCAAGAGCATGAGGCTCTGAAAGGACACTGGCAGAATGTGAAGGAGAGGCATAAGAGTTTTTATCTCTCAGCTCCTAAAATGACTGAGCAATGAGAGTAAGAGGAGCTGATTCATGTCACCTTTGTTGCCTCATTTTTTCTCTCCCATTCATCAGATGAGGTCTGTGTGAATTAGCATGGTTAGCAGAGCAGCTGCAGATGTGAGACACTATTCACACTGCCAGATTTCAGAGTATCAAGTCGAGTGAATTCAGGACTTTTATCTTCTTTAATTATGTAAATCATATGCCACAGATATTTCCTATCAAGTCGAGAGGCAGAGCTTTTTTCTTTCCTCTCAGCAAATTTTCAATGAGACTCCCAAGAGAAGCAGGCAGAGGAAACAATACTTGAATTGCGCATTACAGAAAATGTGGGCTGGATTCTCTAACTATCAAGGCTGCAAATAACAAATGATCTAATTCTTTAAAGTATTTCTTCGAAGTTACAATAGTGATATTTCTTGTATTTATATACTGCACTTCCATTTCTATTCATGTCCATCCACACAATTTTGCAGACTATCCCTCACTGAACAAGCATGTAGATGTCAACATGAAAATACAGTTACATGTTAAAAGCTTACATAATTATAGAAATCAAGATTGTGGGAAATACGCTTGTTTGTTTTCTTGTTAGATGAAGCTATACCACCTGCAGCGAGTTAGCTTAGCTGGTTAGCTGTACGAAAACCAAAGTTATGTACTGACTACACAAACAAGATATAGTGCTACTTAGTGAGCTTTAAGGTTATTATAGAGGTGCACAAAGTCAGTGAAAGACATCTAACACACAAAAAAGGATCATCATATTTCCCAAAATGTCTAACTATTCCTTTAATGGCAGCATGGTTAATATGTGTTAGAATGCCAGCCATCCAATTATTGTAGTAAATGTTTAGCTACTAAACTATAGCCTTGCACATTTGTCCTATCACAAGGGAAGTTCTAAATTGTAAAACTTGAAATTGAAGTTGACAGAGCAACTACAACTGCAGGATAAGAGATTCATGCCTCAGCAGACAGCAATCTCTATAACACAGAAAAAATCCATGCCTGACACTCTCTTGAAATGTATGTCAATTCATGTTTTACTTTCTTTGCACTTATTTTCCAACTCCTTTCTGAATTGCATGAGGAATTTGACTGTATAACTCTCACAGCTACAGATGTTTTGTCTTAGTGTAGTTTTATAATTAACTTCTTACAAATCTGAGAAAAGTAGCAGTACTTCTGATTAACAATCCATGGTGTGAAGTCCTTCACTTTATCCCTTGGTAGATTTCATTGCTACTGACTGCACTTCTTCTCCGTAATTTCCAGTGATCAGCTTCACGATCATGATGTCAACACGCGCACAAAGACTTGAGAGATAAATCTATAGTCCCTCTTCACCTCAGTAGCTTTATTTTCAATAGCCTGTAGCTAGTAGCATGTTTTTCGGATGAAAGGTCGATGTACTGCGTAAGTGTTCCTCGTATAAACAATGACACACAAATCTCCAGTGGTAAAATATCCCTGAAGGTGCAGTGAATGTGGAGACGAATTGGCATACCGTTCCTGTTTCCTGGCACTGTGCCTTTCAAGCATCAAACACACTGAAAAAGTTGACAGTGTTATTAAACCCAGTCAAGTGTAGGTGAACGAGTATTAAATCATGGTTATGCACTGATTCCTTGTCATGAATCCTCACGTTGCTTCAGTAATGGGAGCTCAACCAAAGATGAGACAAATTAAGAAAGCGGAGGTTTTACACACATCCATAATTACCACGATTCTGTTCGACATTACTGATCAGTTTGCCACGTGTTCTCGACCTCTTCCAGCCCTGTAAACTGAGGTGTGGTGCTGCTGAACTGAATTCAAATCTGACAGTGCTCCACATCACTCCAGATATCGAGAGAAAAGACACAACAGCCAGGCCAATCACAAGAGTGTCCCAGCCAATGACAGTATATTGCCAATGGAAATACTGAGTGTGTGCAGACAGACAATCAATAAAACTGCAGAAGGGTCCCACAAGGACGAGTTCCCTGGATGATGTTTATTATTCATTCGGAGCCTTGCTGTTAGAGCTATAAAGCACAGATGTGCTTACAAAAAAAGAAAGGAATTGACAACAGTAGTAAGGTAGAAACAGCTACAAAAAAATTTACCTGCAGTGAAGTTGTAACTTGCTGAAAATCCCACCGCTTCCAGTTCACCATCTGTAACAAATTTTATCCACAGATATCGGCCGCTACTCCTGATATCGGGCGGGCTGTGCTGACCGCAGTACCGTCCGAGAATTGGGGAGAAGCCAAACGGTCCATCCCGAACCTCGATGTTGTCAAATTTACATTCCCAAGAGGACTCGATTGAATAATTCTCCTCAAAGTGTAGATCAATACACTGCCTTGGGGGGGCTGGAAGACACAAGGAAAATAATTACCACCGAGCACAAAGCAGGGGGTGAAATATTAGTCATGCTTTCATTGATGAGCGTTCAACCTGTTTCATTATCGGCCGGCCCACATGTTCAATACACACCTCCAATCCTGGCTGTTACTCAATTCACTTGTAACACCCCGGAGCTGTGATAGCCTTTAGCTTCTACATTCACTTTGGTAGTTTTTTAACCTCATTATCCGCACCAATCGATCAAGTATCGCCTCCTAATCTGAAAAATATCAGCCCTGAAGTAGCCTCTCACTGTCTAATAAACAAATACATGTCATTATCCTCTTAGAAGTTACTGTGTCCCCCAGGATAACCCCGGGAAGGCTTTAACTTTAGAGAATAAATAGCTGGAGCACCTTTTTCACTGTTGCTGTGCTTAAAGAGAACATTTACCTTCAAGGATGTAAACACACTCTATGTCTGGAGGGTATTTGTTTGGGTAATTGGGAGACGTGAAGAGCCCTCCTTCTGGTTCCTTCACCCACGTTCCACATTGACCTGCAGGCTTCACTCCAGAATTGTTTTTCACTAAAAATATATACATGCCAAAAGGAAAAGAAAAGTGAGAACTTAAAGCTTTGAAGGAGAGGATATTTAGGCAGTAAAGACGTGTGGCTGTGGTGATGGAGATTACCTGCTGTATCCTTCCTTGTTGCCCCAGACAACCCAAGTATGAGAAGACTTGCAACAACTGTACGAGGAGAAAGACGATTACATTTTTGATGGAAGACTGTGACATGCACATATTGTTTTTTCTGTTATTTTCTTTGTTTTGTGCACAGCTTGATTTCTGCTGAGGGAGGTTTGAGTCAGCAAGGAACAAGAATTTAAAGGTTTCTGGATCTCATGTACTGTTCACCAGCGTTATGCTAATGCTAAACCTGCACTGACTGTAACCTTAAAGAATGCTAAAACAGCAATACCTGAAATAATCATAATAGCAAGCTATCCTTAGTATATTATTATGGTGATGAATATATTCTGTAATGTCAAGAAATAGAAGTCTTTACAATGCTGATAAACCTATAGGCCGGTACTGTGACATTGTGCAAACATACAATAATTATAGCCTTTTTCAGCCATAAGCCTTAACCAAACTCTATTTAAAAAATATGAGTTTTTAAAAATAACATAAACATGTTCCATAGCATGACAAAAACATATATATATATATAAATTGACTACCAAAACATCTACATCATAAGTTGCCATACATCACAGTTTCTTAAGATTTTCTTCTTAAAATAAAAATTATGCAAAAAAAAAAGAAGAAGAAAAACACCTAGAAGAACTTGCAGTGTGACCTTCAACTGTGAGTTTACAGGTTGTAGGATGCAGTATTTCTGTCTATCACCTCGTGCTATTCGTTTCATCCCAAGAAACACCCATTCTGTTTGTATTGACTTTTATCTGTTGCTCTTATCTCTTGTCTTAAAGACACTTATTTAGGATATAAGCAAGCAATAATAGCTCTGAGCAAGTGTGCTTCAGCTGGTGATGTCTTACCGTGATGGAAGCTGTGCCCATGTACCATGTCTGTTCCTTTCACAAACGGCTTCAGACTCAACTAATTCCATTTAGATTTAGGAATACTTGAAGAGAAAAAAAAGATTGAGATGAGAGTTTTCACACCGGGAAACCGCTCATACCATACAACCCCTCGATGGGGAAAAAAAACAACAAGCACATTTACTTCCTTACTAAAATCTTCAGTGGGGAAAAAAAAAAATCCTCGCAGACTTGTCACATCAACTAATCACCAGTTTCATATAGAACCAAAAACAGTTCTAAACACTCGCCCGATTTCCATCCAAGCGTTTCAAATGCCCTTTGGTGCTTTTGATGCACTGAAAGGATTAATAGTCCCGTCATCAGCCCTTCTCTAATCGCTCCACCTTTGCAATCTTCTTTTGGAAAATATCATGGACAGCCTTGTTTTGTCCTCTTTGGTCCCTTTATCAGGAGAGCGGATCCTTCAGGAGCATGTACAACCACGCAACGTTCATCTCTGCAGCGTTTTCTTTACTCTCTTTTGGGTGCGTAAAATCCCCTGGAAAACACCGGGTAGCCAAAAAAAAAAAAAAAAAAAGAAAAAAGAATTAAGTGGATTTTCGTTTGGGTTTCATTTCGGTGTTTCTCAAGAAAAAAAACAAACAAAAAAAAGCTTGTCAGTGTCTCTCAGAGTGCATCCTCCTGTCTTGGCTTCTATCAACTGGAGAGTCCCCGCAGCCTGCAGGAGTTAATGTATGATTCTCCCTCCTCCTTCCTTTCATTCAACACTACAGCCTTCCAATGCGCCGCAATCCTCACGTACTTTTGACGCACGCATTGGAAACTTCTCCAGGACACGACTCCGTCCACACACTCACACACGCACACGCGAACACGCACCAGTCAAAAAGTGGGGAAGCGCTAATGTAGGTGCGTGCGAGTGTGTGTGTGTGTGTGTGTGTGTGTATTTGTGTGTTTGAACAATAAGTACGCACCGCAGAATTCATTTCAGCTCGCCGCGATCTGCCACGCAACGAAAGTGGAAAGGTAAGCAGAAAAGCCAACGAGATAGTAAATTGAATGAACAAGCAATAACCCACACATGTCAAAGAGTGAGTTGTATCAGCGTGATCAAACATGGAAAACCTGCGGAATAGAAATAGAAATACAGAATTGTTCTGTGGAAACTAGAAGCATCAAAGCTTGTCTTTCAATCCTAGCTTTTTACTCATTCACAGTCCCAGCTTTGTTTCTGGTTGCGTGGTGCCTCTGGGATGTACCCTAAAAATACAGCAAACATCCCTACAGTATGGTGCAACTGCCACCCACTTCAAGGTTATCATGGAAGACATCTTCAAATTGCTCTCCCATGTTTCCACTCTCTACAAGAAATGGAGAGGCACAGCGAAGGAGACAGAGAGGCTGCATTTTTCCCCCCCTTCTCTTTATGTTTTGCTTTCTCAGAAAAGTGGACCATTACTTTTCTTGAGGTGTGAGTGTCGGGTATGTATTGTGTGTAGTCGCTCTCACACCTGATGACAAAGCTGATCAGAGGGTGCCCAGGGACAAGTCAGGGGCTCAGGCTCCCAAAATAGTCTTGGCACCCAGCAGACAATATCCATCTTCAGATACTCCTGCTGCAGAGGCAATCTTGGACTGGGTCCCTCTGTGTGTATGTTAATGCCACTGGTTAGCATTTGGATCAGCTTAAAATATGCTGTTAATAAACCACCCTGATAGAGGATGCTGTTATGCCCATGACAGACTTGAGTACAAAGACTGTTCCCTCTCTCTCTCTCTCTCTCTCTCTGTGTGCGCTTTTTCTAGTGCTCAAACCCTCTTGAGATTTCTAAGATAAAGACTTACAATTGTCTCTAACGTCCTCCTCTTAATTACATCCTGTCCCAGAGATTGGCCTGTTACTCACTACTCTGAAAGTGTTTGGTTTTATAACAGGTAATGCAGACTTTTGCGGGTGCCATGATGACTTTGAGAATACGTGTGGGAGTGAGAAATCTCAGAACTCTTTTCAACTAATAGGCTCCTGCTAATCTGTTATACAGAGCGATTTAATGGACTTGGGATTTAGACCCCCTCAACGTAAGATCTGGGGCTTAGCCAGTCACTTTCTTGCTACTGTACAATCAACTCCCATGAAGCTTGAAGCCCACAGTGTAATGTAGCTCACACTGCTTTCTCCCAAATTTCACAAACAGAACAAAGACATGGCTGGAAAGAATTTAAAATGTCAATTTCTCTGCAAAGGCAAAGCCTATTATAGATCTTACAGTCTGAGTGGATGTCAATAATATTTGCGCCAAAATACAATGCAGTGCCCAAAGCTTGTTATTCATTTACAGTGGTGCTGTGGTGTCTGACAACTTTATAAGCACAACACCACACCTTTTCTGATGGGTAAACTCAGAGATAAAGCAGCAGAGCTATATGGGAATTATTCAAATGAGGCTTATCTGGCCCACTGTATGCAACAGTAGCCCTGGTGAATTTAACAGCAGCCTCCAGTTTAGCTCTCCAGCATGTATAAACTGTCTGTTTGACTGAATGCTACTGAGGCAGTGGGAGCATCTCAGAGAAATAATTCATTCAACAGCAGTCTCAAAGTCTGCCATTTTTAATTAAGGAAGTCTATCATTTGGCCGGAGATAACTGTTGTGCTGTGTCGGCCTAACCCAAATTTGTAATTGTAATCAGTTTGGGGAAATGGGACATCCAGGCCGGGAACCATATACATACAGCACACAGAGACAGGTAAACATCAGTACATTACACTGCTCTGTTTGCTGTTTTATCTTCAATTTAATCTCAGGATTGCTCATTGTCCAGCTTCGGTTAATTAACTAGTTGCTCCAAGTTGCTTTACCAAACGTCAAGACTCATAAGCTTCACTTAAAACATGCAAAAGAAAAGTCACAACAAGTATATTATCCCGTAGCATATACAAAACAGCAAGTAATTCGTGATTGCATCCTGTTCATTTGGCTCTGACCTGAGTAAATTGGCCGTTCACCTTCTACTTAGTGTCATTCTAATGACACTGCCAGCACTGTTTCTTTTTGTCAGTCTAACAGGGGACAGCACTAAAGCGGATAAACACTTAGGCTAATGCCTCCTGCCCAGTGGGACTCAAATTAACCTTATTAGTGATGCATTGAGCAGTTTGTTGGCCTAAAAAAACACAATTTATTTGTCATTCAAGCTGCCTTGTAGTTCATTAAGCAAGACCCAGTTACAAGAAAGGGTCGCTCCGACCATGGGCAAATTTTATGCTGCTCTTTATGCTACATTAGCTGTCTGGGTCTCTGGTGATAGACTGCCTTTATCCAGACCCTGCACCTGGAGCCAGTGGGAAAATAATTCCATCAGATGATAGCCTATAAACTACCTGTGGCTTCAGTTTTGTTTCGGTGCTTTTGTTAGTTTGCAATACAGCATACCATTTCAGGCTCCTGTGCTATCTCTCGCTTTCTAAAAAGTACTAGACTACCTTATATTATGCAAAATGGGGAAAAAGTGTGAAAAATCAGATAGACATGGTGAAAGGAAACTATATTTGACACAAAAACTTCTCAGAGTTGAAAAATGTAATGTATTTGGCAGTTGTGCAACTATTACGTAGAAGTAAAATGACAACATGGTGGAATGGCATGATAGTACCGCTTAAACTAATGATTATTTTCACTATTGATTTCAATTTCAATTTCAATTATTTTTATCAGTTAATCCATTTGGTCTAAAAATGTGAGAAAATAGAGAAAAATGGTCATCACAATTTCCAATAGATCAATTTAATGTGATTTCTTGTTTTGTCAAATCAAGTCAAAAACTTAAATATATTTAATATCCTATCATAGAGGACTAAGCAAAAACCAGCAAATAATTAAAATTTAAAAGTGGAATTCAGTGAATGTCTGGCACTTTAGCTTTGAAAGTTTACTGGATTATTAATAGTTGTTTTTCTGTTGATCGACTTCAATTAGACAACAGTTGGAGCTCTGTGACATATAAAGATGTATGAATGTAATATGACAACCATAAATTATGACATATATTACAGTAAGAGCTGAAATATAGATGTCCTTGTCTGAAGAGGCAGTAATAACTAAGTGCAATTGGTTCTTTATTTCACTCTTCTCTTTAAAACACAAAAACGGCATTATGAGTTCAAACAGTCCACATATGTTGAAGAACATCCAGAAGGTCAAATGTGCTTTGTTCTGTGTGCACACAATCACATTTACTTCTTGACCTTCAGGTAAAACATTTAAAATGCAAGGACACACAACATGTGTAACTTCATCAGATCAGTACCATCACTGCCATGGAGTCACTTAATATAGCAGTGGTGCATAACAGCACACCCTGAGTGTGTATATTTGTGTGTTGGGTTGTCAGACACCTTTCAAATTCAAATGGGTGCAGCCCTGGACACCTGTGGCGTCTATAAATCTACCACTGTCATTGATGGTGATGAAGCTAAAATCAGATTTTGCAAATGTTTGGTACTTTTCTTTTGAGGAATTCAAAGTACTGAATTAACTAATTTTACTTTGAACTGCTCCACATTCATCTCTCTCATGTCTCCTCGATGCTGCAACTCATCTGTCAATCACTGTGGCTTTATCCATCCAGCAATTAATCTCAGCCCAAGAGGGGCAGCTGCACTGGCTATGAACCTAAATGTCTGCTGAATTGGTACGCCTGGTCTGCAGATTTCTGCTCTAGTTATAGTACTGAGAGTAGTTATATGAGAGGGCTAATTTTTAGCACTTTTCAGCAGATCTTTTGTCTTCATGTTTCCTCTGGAAGGCTTTCACTCTGCCCTCCCGTCCATATGATGAGGCATGAAGGAAACAGTGACTTGCTGCTTCACAGGTGTCCTGGATTTGGGCTAACATACCCTCTGCAATCTGTTCTGTGTATGAAGTCCCAAGCCCCTGGGTTAAACTGACTGTGTAATTCGTCATTTGACCTCATTAACCACTTGGTAGGGGGGTGCCATAGACACTGTGGAGTGACACTGTGGGCCATAACACCCCCGATGGGAGAGTTGATGTCATGCCGCTACCAAAACACAGTCTTTTTCAGACTGAGGTTGAGGGAGTGAAGCAAGAATCGCAGCTGACACTGATTCAGCCCTGTTTATTTACAGCTTCTACGAAACCATAGTTTAGTTCAAATGCTCTGTTCAAAACAACAGAGTAACCGATATGTTGCATGCAAAGAATTTCATTTGGATTTATTAGCAAAGCTGTTGCTATTGACCCCGACCGTGAACAGAAATTGTCCAGTCATAGCTTAGCAATCATAACCAGGGCACAGCAGGCCTGTAAAGATATGAAAACAGTGTGCATGTGGCTCTCATAAGTGAGATACTCAAGAGTTTAGAGGGTATAACCCAAAAACCAAGAGCAAACATGTAAGGAATGGATTAAACTATGTTTATCTGTTCTTGCAAACGCCGCAGATATCAGCATGTCCATCTAACTAGCATTCTGCCTTCACTTAGCGTTATTTCCAAAGGCAAGGAACATGTCATAAGCTAACACCATTACAACTTAAAAAGGTCTGTTCATGACTGAAACATTCACCCGATGGGAGCAAAGATGTAAGTATGCCAGAGTTTAGAGTAATAATAATGGCACTTTCCTGCTCTTTATTTGGTCTAGAGAAGTTTATACTCCAGAAGTCCAGGCAAACTGCATCAATTTGTTTTATTACTGTGCTCTCACACTAGGGCTAACTATCTCTACTCTGCAAAACACAATGTAGTTTTTTTTTTTTCCGTGTCTTTCACATGGATCGTTAGCTAGTGAGGATTCTGTTATTTTTAACCTTGGATCCATCGTTTACCATTATATCATAGCTTGAGACAGAGTTCTCAACCAGCTCGACAGCGGATGGCTGGAATAAGAAACCTTTTGTGTGAAATCAATGATCCACTCAAAAATTATGACGAATGTTGAGTGGTGAATTTGACAGTTCTATAATAGTAAAGTAGGCTATGTGCCGCGCAAGAAAGGAAAGCTTGACATGCGTAGAAGCATTAACTAAGAAAGGCTTAGGATTAGTGAATGGTCAATCGCAAGAATGACCTCAAC